AAAATAGAATTTAGCTGAATTTAAGTATTTGAAATCCTGGCAAACACCTTCTCCTCTTCAGCCTCTGAAAGATACTCAGCCACTTCCCATTTAATTCAGGCCCCTGAGGTACTTGTTTGATGCTAAAAATGAAACCGTATGTCTGTGTTATTCACTTTTAACATCTACTGCAAGCCTAGTCTATCTAAATTAAGCTTTTCCTTCTTTTATGGAATCTTCTGTGTTTGAGGATGGCCTTGCGTGTGTTCTGTAGCAACACCCTCGTCCTCCCACTACATAGAGCTGATTTAAGAGGTCTGCTCTACCAAACCTGTCCTGAAACTGTCTTCCAAACACTCATTCCCTTTCAGTTCGTTTTTGGGCACAGTTTAGAAATAGTCAACATTCAACATGCAGTTTTGCATCATGGCTTAGGACATACTTTATGTTTAAGTGGGAAAAAATCGTGTTAATTTTGAATAAATCTCTAACTAAAACTACTTACAATTTAAAGATAAAAATATTCTAGTTCTGAGAGACTGAAGTATGAAAGACTGGAAGAGAGGAAATTATTCTCCCTGCTCCTCTTTTCCACCTACACTAAGGGTGACCATCAAGGAGGGACATCTGCAGAGGAATACGGAGTTTTTCATGCTTGCGCATTCAGTGTGGAATGTTTCATTCTCCAGAGAGATAAGCCAATAAGATATGGTATTGCTTGGTTCCATGTCCCATACAGTCAGAAATAAAAAAAAATAGAGGTAGAATGGAGATGGTTTCCCATTTGATTTTAACTGGCTCTCTGTCCCAACTTAAATTATTCCCATCGGAATTTTGTAAAATCCTAGGTGTTCTTCATTAGGGTAGACCACCCAGTTGATATTGGTCACCTAGAACTTGTTAGTGAAAACTCACTGCTGTCCCTTAGCAGGGACTACTCTCCACCGACTTGGCTCCAACACTGCATAGGGTGTTAAGTTTCTCTCTCCTGCAGTCAGTCCCGGGCAGCTGAAGACTACAAACTAGTGATGCAGAGGGATCCAGTAACCTGACTTCTATTTCACTGCTCTGCCATCCTCCCCACACGGCACTGATTGATTCACCAGGTCTTGCATGTTTGTGAATTTTAAAATTAGGTGTATGTATTGTGTCTGTTTATGGGTAGATGCATATGTATGTAAGTACCTCTAGAGGCCAGCGGCATTCAATCCCGTTGGAACTGGAATTATTCAAAATTGGGAGCTGCTTGAGGTCATAATAGTAAAACCAGGTCTGGAAGACTAGTATGTGCTCTTAATGGCTGAGCCAACTCTCTGGGCTCTACAGAAGCTTCTCAATTTAATTCCAGTCTTAATTTTTACTTTTGTTGCCTGTAATTTTGAGTCATAGTCAAAACCATTTTCTACATACCACTCCTTTTCAGTATTTCACAGATTTCCTTCCTCTGGTTAATGAAGATTTATGCTCCCTTGGGGGTAACAGTGATGTTTACTTCCTTTTTTGGTGTTCTTTGTATCCCTTTGTTGGTGTCTCCACGTCTAGCGCAGCATTTCAATTTCATGGAACTTCTCCCCGGACAAGGGCAATCTCTTTTTTCCCTTTGGGCAGGTCCTAGGATAGCAGTATATTAGTTTTTAATTAGAGTGGACTCAGTAGTGTTGTGTCTATGTAGCTTCTTCTGCTATAATCTTGCCATCTTCTGTGTCTTAGGTTACAAATTGACGGATGTGGTGTGCTTTTACTTAAGGTGAGATGTTGGGCTGTATACAGGTGGTGTCTACAGGTGTTGTGGTTTGACACCTGCAGGATGGGCTTTCCAGGGAGCAGGATCATGTTCTTAAATTATGTCAAGGCAGGTCAGGGCTATGAAGATATTGCAGACTCTCTGGCAGCACATGGACTTTCTAGGAGAACACAGCATTACTGACTCATTATCAGGTTAGTCTCAGTCACACAAGGCATGCTGGTTAGCCTGGCTAGTTGTGAAGTAAGGCGAAGGAATCCAAACTAGTTATCACAAAGAAACTCACCAAGATTTGGCGATACAAATAACTATTCAAATGAAATTAGGAAAAAAATAACTATGATTCAAATGAGAAATTTAGCAACAAATAACTATTTTTTTTAAAAAAAAACAAACAGAAATGTTGTTACTGAAAACTCAGTAGCCTACCTATTATATTTACAGAGTGTCTTTGGAAAGATAAGCTGAGATGGAAATCCTGGATTCAGAAGGAAGGTTGGAGGGTGGGCCTGTGAGCCAGCCTACTGTGCAACACTTTCCAAGGTCTAGTCTGATGCGTGGTTGGTTGTCAGTTCAAGAAGAGAACTGGATACACTCAGTGCCAGGTGTGTATCAGCTTGTCATCTATGTGAATGTACCTGATCACTGGGGCATAGTGCGCAACATAAATATGACCTATTATTTTCTTAGGGCGTGGATCCAAGTAACCAGATTTCTGGCTTTGCATCCACTCGTGTGAAATGGTAAAATCACAGGAGAATCTTAGCAATACAGGTAGACACCTGTAGCTACTCGCCCCTGTGGCAGGGTGTGCTCTATCTGTATTCTTGATTTCTAGGTGGGCTCAAGCTGCAGTTTATCTCACAGTAGAATGGGCCATGCAATGTGGGTTCATATTAAGAAGCAGATGTGTAAACTCTGGGAAGTGTTCCTAAGTTTCGGGCTTGTCAGGGCTGTGGGAGCCTCTTAAGCAGTTCAGTAGAGCAGAAATGAGGAACAGCGAGCTGTTCCAGGTCACTTTTCCTCCAACAATGACATCCTATCTATTCCTTGAGCGGAATTGGATTGATGAGACACGCTTTGCTGACTTTTTCACTCACAGAATCGGAGAAGTGTTTCTCTGTTGTACCTTTTGTGGTGGACAATAATAGTCAATAATAAAAACAATAGTATCAGAATGCAAAGGCCACTGTTAGACACCATCTGCATTGAAAAGAGAACATCAAAGGCTCAGATATTGAAGTTAAAGCAAGGTGTCAAAGTTAAAGCCTGGTTTGCTATAGTCTTACATAGATCATCTCCTGAAGCTAGACATAAGACTGAGCAGGAACTGAGACACTGAGGTTATTTATAAAATTGTCAAACTTAGCTTTTGCAGGTTTTCTATGTCAATCTTATTCTTATCTTTGATAGGGAAAAATGAGGGCTGAGATGCAATTTAACATCGGGAATCTCTTGAGTTTCTGAGTGCTCCTGTCAAAGTGGTTTTGTTCCTATGGGGGAAAGATGTTATGGTGTAAGGGCAATTCAGAGTCTTCTGAAGAGGAAAGAGACATGTAAAATGACACCTTCTACCAACATCTCTACACACCCTCATGCCCTGCAAAGCCATAAATGCCATTAAATCTCTGAAGGATGACTACAGCTAAGACTCTAGCAGTAGTGGAGAGGGTGACTGAACTGGCCCATCTACTGTAATCAGACTGGAGACTGCCCTAATTGTCCGATACTCTATCCAGTAACAGATGGAAGCAGATGCAGAGATCCACAGCCAATCTAAGCTCCGGGAACCCAAATGAAGAGAGGGAGGAGGGATTATATAAGCAAGGGAGGTCAAGACCATGATGAGGAAACCCACAGAGACAGCTCATAGAAGTACATGGACTCTAAAAGGACAGCTAGGAAGCCTGCATGGAACCAACCTAGGCTTTCTGTATGTGGATGACAGTTGTGTAGGTCTTTTGTGGGGCCTTTTTGTGGGGCCCCTAGCAGTGGGACCAGATTTGATCCCTGGTGCATGAGCTGGCTTTGTAGAGCCTACTCCCAGGGTATGATGCCTTGTTCAGCCTTGATGCAGAAGGGAGAAGCTTTGTCCTGCCTCACTTTGATATGCATTGTTTTGTTGATGCCCTTGGGAGGCCTGCCCCTTTCTGAACAGAAATGGATTAGGAGTAGGGGACAATAAGGGGGAAGGGGCTGGAAGGATAGAAGAGAGGGAAACTGTAGCCAAGATAATAAATAAATAAATAAATAAATAAAATCTCTGAGTGAATCTTATTGAGAAGGGCGGGAAAGAGCCAACAAAGAGATTATAAAAGACAGTGGAGTAGTAGGAAATTGGTGCTCTGTTTCTCAGGTGTCTAGGGGACTTCTGAAGTATAAATTAAAAATAGATATTTTGTCCTTTCTTTGATAGAATTTTGTTTCAATATTAACTTTAAAGTATTTTGGTTTCCACTCATAGCTAAAATAAATTAAATGTCCCCACTCAATTTTAAGCTCTTGTCAAAAAATGAATTATGTCTGTCTTCGAGTTACATCATGTTTTATATTTCTTTAAATATATATCAGTACCCATTAGCATAAATTGCTTTATTCAGATAGAATTGAGTTACACCAAATCTCATTTTATTTCTGAATGTATTCTTTCAATATTCTATTATTATTTTAACAATATGAAACTATTTTAATCATATCAAATTTGAAATTTGAGTTTGTAATTGATCCAGGGTTATAAAACCATTAAGGTTTTTTTTTTCCCTCCAGTAACAGGATATTATTTTTTTTCAAGAAGAAAACTGAGGCTAATGAACATTTAATGAAACTTCCACAAGCTACCCGAGAAAGAAATAACTTTATATACTTAATTTAATTCAAAAATTAATTCTCTCAAAAGTTTAGCATTTTGTCCTTTATATATTTCTACATAGCAGTACCAGGGCAGCTACTGATACAGAGAGTTGTCACATGACAGCTCAGAGTCTAATCCTCACTCCACAGACCCCTGCCCCAGGCGCGCTGCCCTTGCCTTCTCTGCTGCAGATGGCGCTGCTCCTGGCCATTCATTCTCCAGCACCACACAGCACCCTGTGCTCACAGCCAGGTGTCTCTTATCTGCCCCTTCTATTTTTTTTTTTTTATTGAGAATAAGAAAAAAAAAGTTTCCGCCTCCTCCCAGCCTCCCATTTCCCTCCCCCTCCCCCCACTATTCTCCCCCTCCCCCCCACTCTTCTCCCCCTCCCTCTCTAATCCAAAGAGCAGTCATGGTTCCCTGCCCTGTGGAAAGTCCAAGGTCCTCCCCCCTCCGTCCATGTCTAGGAAGGTGAACATCCAAACTGGCTAGGCTCCCACCAAGCCAGAACATGAAGTAGGATCAGAACCCGTGCCATTGACCTTGGCTTCTCATCAGTCCTCATTGTTCGCCATGATCAGAGAGTCCGGTTTTATCCCATGCTTTTTCAGTCACAGTCCAGCTGGCCTTGGTGAGCTCCCACTAAATCAGCCCCCACAGTCTCAGTGGGTGGGTGCACCCCCGTGGTCCTGACATCCTTGCTCATGTTCTCCCTCCATCTGCTCCTCATTGGGACCTTGGGAGCTCAGTCCAGTGCTCTAGTGTGGGTCTCTGTCTCTATCTCCATCCATCACCAATCTGCCCCTTCTTATACACAACATTGAAGACCTGAATTCAGGAAGAAAAGGAGAAGGGGAAAAAAAGGAACAGAAAGAAGACGGGAATTTTTTACTTGTATATTTATGTTTTAGCTCATAGCAATCTTATTTTCCATTTCTAATCTGATTTTACCCTTTTGTGACCAAAGAATCACTTCCAGCTTACGTCGGAGCTCCTTATCCAAGGGAAGCCTTGTCCTTCCCAGTGCTCTACGGTTTATCTCTTTCCACCCCTTTAGCAGTGAAACATTCAGGTTTAATTTGAACGTTAAATAAAAATGTACATTTAGCACAAAAAGCCCTTTCCTGAGACAGACAATATCCCTAACAATGCTTTTGTTACTATGTTTGGTTATCACATTATTAGAGTGAAAATACATATTCATAAAACTATGATGGGCCATACTACTTACTTATATATTCTAAAAAAAACAATATTTATTTGTGTCAGCAATCTCAAAGACACTACTGGACAGTTTTCCATTGTGTGGCTTAATCTCCCCATTGATAAGAATTCCAGTGAGCTAAGTTAAGGAAGGATGTTTAGGGAGATATTCTCCTTTACACAGGAACAATATGACAACTTAAACTCATTTTATCGTTTTAACAGGAAAACCAACTCTTCGGCTTACTGTGCTCAGAACATAGAAAGAACTTGCTTATTATAGCCAAAAATGGTTCATGACTGGCTGCAATGCAGTGTGGGTAAAACCAGACTCTCAGGATTGATTAGCAGTAAACTATTTGGGAACAAAAGCAGTAAGATGTTCTCCCCCACACTGCAGGCAATCTGGAGGAAGGATTACAGATGTTAAGAGCTGTTACTCGGGGATACATTCTCTGTGTCAATCAATATGCTAGTTTACAGTTTATTTTTTAAGCCACTTGGAAAGATAGTCATCATTTATCTCAAATAAGAGCAGGTTAGAAAGAGACATTAAGTAACCTTTATCTTAAGTAACTTGCATGGAAGATTGCAAAAGTAAATGTAAAACTCCATTCTCTTTTGATAGCGTTGGGTGCCTAAGAGTTGTAAATATCTTCATCCTATTTAACACAGCTTTTAGTTGTTTATTATATTTGCTACTAATCTTACATTGGTGTCCGAGAGAATGTTTAATGTGTGCTCAACTCTCCTTTTAAATGTTCTTAGTATGAAGAAGACAAGCTATTGCTGTTTCTTATAAGCTTGTAAGAACTTAAATGTATTTCAACATCAGCTTACTTCCCCCAGGCAAGTGACTCTTCAGTTGCCAAGCGGTGTCTCAATCTGGTCTACACTTGAATTGTGACATTGCCAACAGTTAAGCAGGTCTACCCAAGAACTTCAAAGGGAGTTAATGTTAAGATAGGTCATTGCCTCCTGTCTATCGTGGTTTAGAGATGGTTATCTGCTTGTGATTGGCTCTCTACCTCTCTAAGGTGCCCACACAGACACAATAGACACAGCCCAGGAAGGCACTAAGAGAGATGAGACTCATGTTGTGTAGAGGAAAATATATGGGCCTGGAAAAAAAAAAACATGAAAGCTAAAAGGTTATTATTATAGAAAAGAAAAAAACAAGTATGGCTACTGTGTGTGTGTGTGTGTGTGTAAGGAGGTATAATCAAAGCACTATTTATATGAAAATGTCATAATGACACCATTATTCTGGAGATATAATATATGCTAATGAACAGTTGGAATGAAAATTGAGAAATAAAGACATAGTAATGAGAAAAAATACATCATTTAACTGAGTTTTCTTATTGTGAAGGAACAAAACCACACCTGGATTCCATGACTTAAAATAAAACTTTCTTGCAGTGTGTTGTGGTTCTCTGGGTTGACTAATCCTGTGTTAAGTGGTCTTTCTTGAGATCTCCATACAATTATCACCAGATAGAAACAAAATCTGTGCTCACCAGCGGTCTCAGCTGGTTTGGACACCCCAGGGACAGCCACACTCCTAAAGCTGCAGCTTATTCGGAAACCAGAGCTCGATGGCTTCATGATCCTGTTAAGTCTCCTAAGAACATGTTTAGCTTCCAAAATGCGAACATTCCAAGACACACAGAGAGATGCATCAAGACCGTCTCAAGCCCCCTGCAATTCTGCATCCTTGGTCCAGCAGGACACTCAGGCGAGGGAAGATTCAAGGATGAAGGGCTGAGATCCCACCTTTTAATGCACCGGCAACTAATGCAGTTGTTGCAAACCTATAAAATTAAATAAGGGGATTTTCTAAGAGAGTTTCTTGAGAAATCATTATCTTGAGAAACTATTTTCCCACGCAGACCTATTTCACACAGATAATTTTTGTTGGAGTGTATTATATAGCATTGTAAATAATTATTGCATTCTTTGTAACAGAAACAATAATCGGAATATCTGTTACCCTTTTATATCAGCAGGAAGTAAAACACTGAGACATACAATAATAAGAACAAAGTACAAAGTGATTACAAAGAGCTCCTCTCGGGGGTCATGCTGCTGCTGCTGTTGACCTATATCATAATCTGTCAAAGACACTGGCAGGTGTGCTTTCTCCAAAGTCCCTCATTCGCTTCACACAAAGCTTGGTGATATATACTCTACCATTGTTTGCACAGTTATGGAACTACAGCTCTGTTTTTACAGTTGTGAGGAAATGAAAACTCGGATTTATTGTCCCAAGTCAAAACAATTAAAAATCGTGACTGCATGCAATTATTATTATTCTAAAAATAAACCACAACACTAAACTTGAATCCAGACAGTTGTGCTATGAACAAAGTCTGTGTCAGCGGCTGCCCTGTGTAGTAATCACATGAATAAGAAAATTTCTGCTTTGTATATGTAAAGATATTGACTTTTTATAACCATACATACTTGCTTTAAATTCTTTCTAAATTTATTATCTGATAATTTCATATATATGTTGTCATAGTTAGAATTTTATTGCTTTGGAGAGATACCATGACCACGACAATACTTATAAAGGAAAATGTTTAATTAGGTCTGGCTTACAGTTCAGAGATTTAGCGTGTTATCATCATGGCAGGAAGCATGACAGCAAGCAGACAGACTTGGTGCTGGAGAAAGAGCTGAGAGTTCTACATCTGGATCAGTAAGCAGCAGGCAGAGATTCAGCTTGTTCTACTTAGCGCAATGACACACTTCCTTCAACGAGGCCACACCTGCTCCACAGGCCACACTTCCTAATAGTGCTATTTCCTATGGATCAGTTCAAACACACGAAGTCTATGGGGGTCGCTTTTATTCAAATCACCCTATGCGTATACCATATTCGACCATCCAGAGTTCTTCTTAGCCACTCTTAGCACCTTCCCACTCCCCCAAATCAGCTTCTTGTTTTTCACAAATGTTCCCTCCAATGATTGTGATGTGTGTCTGTGTGTCTGTCTGTATGTCTCTTTGTCTGTCTGTCTGTCTGATCCACTGAGTTTAGTTAAGGTTGCCTGCATGACAGCAGATGGAGTGTTATTTACTAGAAAATTGACAGCTAATCAGTGGTAATACTACATGGGAAAATGCGTCCTCCTCCCCCTGCATCCATTAACTGCTACAAGCTCGTTAGCGACTGAGCTCCCCTAGGATGAGGGACTGCTGATGTGCACAGCATTGCGCGGGTGTTGACTTACCATGGCTGCTGTGATTTCATGACTGTGACCGCCATGTTGTGTCCAAAAGATGGGGTTTCCCAATGCTCTTCCAACCTCTGTGATTCTTAAATTCTTTCTGCCCTGCTTCTGCAGTTATAACTAATAGACACGATAACCTCTTGTTAGTTATTTTAGTACCATTTTGAATAATTTTTAGAAAAATTTAAAATAATTGTGTAGAAAAAAAAGCCAAAAACCAAGTATGTCATTTTTGAGGAGTTGTTTACAACATAAACTGATATAGGAAGTCCTTCTGTATGTGTATTGCTTTTATTGGTTAATTAATGAAGAAGCTATTTTGGCCTGTGATAGGGCAGACTAGAGCTAGGTGGAGAAACTAAACTGAATGCTAGGAGAAAGAAGGCAGAGTCAGGGAGAAGCCATGTAGCTGGCAGAGGAGAAAGACATGAGCTGGTACCCGGAACCTTGCCAGTAGGCTACAAACCTCATGGTAAAATATAAAATAATAAAAATGGGTTAATTTAAGATATTAGAGCTAGTTAGCAATACATTTAAGTGATTGGCCAAGCAGTAATTTAATTGAGTTTCTGAGTGACTATTTCTTGTCTGAGTGGTTGGGAATGAATGGTCTCTGCCAACCATAAACTCTTTATATCTTTCTTCTATATGTTATAAAATTATTTGCATTGACTTGCCATAACCAAATTCTCATTTTTCTGACATATTACAAAGATATGTCATAGTAGAACATTAAAAAATGTATTAACAAACATTTGAACATATATAAAATAGCACAATGAACTCCTTGTGTCCATTTTGCAAGTCAACATGATGAATGCCCCTGTTGCAAAAATTCTAACTTGCCTTCACTCCAATTATTTTATCACCTCTTTTAAAAGTTGACAACATTTGAACATTTTTTCAGTTTCATGATAGATTTTGCTTATGTGAACATCTTAAGCATATTCCTGTCTGGAACTGTCACAATGTAAGGAGAACCCAGTCAGAACTCTCATACAAACATTGGAGAACTTACATTTAACTTTCTGGATGTTGAGGCAAGATTCACTAATGCAGGGGACACACTGTTGTCTTCTAATCATCAGGAAGAAGACATCAAATGACATACTTAAGTGCAATGAAAGAGCAAAACTGCGTTTGAAATCAAACAGTACACAGACTCAGCATCTTCCAAATTCGAGTCTCAGCATTTGGGGACCTCACCTTTGCCCAGGTGGGTATTTATCAAGTTGGCTTATACTTTCTGTCTAAGCGATAAAGCTAGTGAAAAATGCCTGCCCTCCAAATAATGCCTTGGAGGCTTTCCTTTAATTCTCCTAATAATAATTTGAGAAATAAAAGTACTAGGGAAAAATCAGAAAAAGGTCAGGGACTATATATGAGTTATATGAATGTCTCAGAGCTACTTGTCAGCAAGGGCACCTGGCTCTGTAACAGCAGGCAAAGAAGTCAGCAATCCCATTCAAAAACACATTCCCGCAAGGTCTATAGCCATGCTGATTCAGTTCCCCTGGGCATGGATCTAACTCTAAGAAAACACTAACCTTAAATCATATATGACAATTCCCATGATATATGCACCATATGTATGCTCTCTACATTAGTTATTTTCTTGCATAAATTACCATTATTTAAGAACATTGAAAGTTACTTTTGTGTTGTTACTTCTCTTTGTCCTTGATTCTCATTCTCTCCCTGCAGTCTAAGTTTGAGTTTGAAGACTTTTTTTTCCTTTTATTTACTTGCACTGTTTGGCTTCTATGGTTTTTATTAAAAAATAGATTTTTTTAAATTTACTGAAGGCCTATTACAAGTTATAAATATTATACCAAATTTTTTATTCATGCTACATGAGGTAAATCTGAGTGTGCTTTGTAACCAGTTTATTAACAGAGATCAGAAAGCTCAAGAGAAGAGGCTGGCAGTCAGGCAGGCAGGAGTCCAATTCTGAGAGAATTCAATGTATCGCCGTTCTTAAATATTTTTAGAATAGATGAGACAAAGACTTGTCTCTAATAATGCTCATACCCTTATGCTATTGTTTTACTTATGTAACTTGAGAGGGAATTCTTACATTCAATTAAAGTATACTAAACTGTGCTTTTATTTATAGGCACACAAAATTGACTATAAGCGTGCCTTTAATTTACTGTGTAGCACAATATAAAAAGAGTGTTTCCTTGCTCTCCAATATACTTCAATGACACAGTATTACTATTGGCTCAGAGGTGCTCTTACCTATAAATTCCGTTAGCTAATCATTTACATAATTGTAAATTAGTTGAATCTGACACAATTTCATAGCATTTTCTAACTTTCAGGTTCTGGGTCAAACACAGCATGAGCTGAAGGTGCTCCACCTGTGGTCCCTCCTATTTTTGTTTGTTTATTTGTTTATTTAATATTCTAAAATGTCATTCCAATATGCTTATTGAAGACCTATGTTATCATATTCAACATTTACCTTTTTTCTAAAGAAACATTTTTTTAAAAAAAAATCTGCTATTTTAAACAATTTTCTTTTAAAATACCACCTTCCAGGTTTTCTTTCCTTTCCTCAAAATTTACAACTTCTATGAAATGTATGAGTATTATTCTTCCAATATCTGTGTTTCTTGCTTCTGAGTTAAAAGCAAGTTCATCTATCTGCACCACCTTCAGTGATGTCAATCATTCATGCTTCTCCCTCCACTCCTCTAGCCAGCATTTTATTAATTACTATTTACTTAGTGTGAAAGTGTATGTGCATATAAGTGTGCAAGTGTGCAGACGCTGGAGGTAACCAGCAACCATGTGCATACTTAGATACTCGCCACCGTCCCAAAATTGGGGGGAGGGGGCAGAGTTTCTCACTAAATTTAAAAACAGCTCATAAACTAAACAGGAAACGGCTTACTTTTCTGCTAGGTGTTAAGAGATGAAAGTGAAAAAGAAAATGAAGAAGAACTTTTCAGATAACTTAGCATAAGAAAACCTAGTATTCTAAGTTTATAGGAAAAATTCCATTAACTTAAATCTTGGCGATTGCCAAGTATTCTATGCCATGTTATCCTACACATGTTCCATGGTGTTGCTTAATTCTTATTATCTTTTTAGCTCTAGGTGTTGTTTCCAATTCTTCAGAGTCTAAATGACAGTTTGTATTGTCCTTACCAGAAAAATCAACCCACACTTTGGGTAAATCGCCTGGAAAATCCGTATCTATCAGTTGATGTTGGCGTCATTTCTTTTTAGTTTGGCTTGGCATGGTTTAAGTTCCTTGGGTGTTTATCTTAGGAGATATATGTGCTAGCACAGAAGCAAATTGCAAGGACAGAGTGTTCTGCACTAACTTCCACTTGACATTGTTTAATAAGAGGTTATTTTGATGACTGAATAGTTTAAGAGGTGAGCCTTGGGACTCGGCTCTCAGTTTTATACTCATTTACTATAGTTCTTTTTTCTAATGCTGTCATACATGATAGTATTTTCAATTAACCATTTTCCTGAAGTTGAGTTGGAGACTAATTCAGAAATCATTTGATTCTATATACTTTTTTCTGTACTTCCATACAAGAAGCTGGATTCCTTTTCTTTGTGTTCTATTGCTCGGTCTGCTTGACTCTATACCCATTCTTCATGCTGTGTGCTTCCAGGCCTCTGCACTCTGTAGAGCAACTTAAGGGCATGCAACATGACCTTCCATAATGATGTGTCAAGGTTTGGATGGATTTTTCCTAAGGAGAATATGGGCCGAATATTGGAGGATGAGGACAGGAAGGTCCGAGGCATTTCTTCACAGCTCTCTCTGATCTTTGCCCTTCTAAAACCCAGCTCTCACCTGCCAGGGCAGCTGGGCTTTGTCCAGATAAGCCAAGTATCTGTATTTCAATCACATTATCTATTACAACCACATTATCTATTTTTTTTTAAATCCAGTTTCTGTTATTTGCAGACTTGGGGTAACTATATCTCCCTCTTTTTCCAAACCAACACCATTTATATTTCAAATGTTTCAAGCGGATTATCTTTTCATAGCTGTAGTCAGAATATGACAGATGTGTTCCATTTTCTCTTTTCAGAACCTATGATCATTTATAAAATCTTGTATACTATCACATGAGTGCTGTTCCTGTCGCCATCCAAAGTAGTGAAATACATGAACTGCTGTCTAACGAGCTCATAGCACTGCGTTGAAGAAACAAACAAAAAAAAAATAATCTTAAGGACAAATAGTAGAAACCAGAAGAAGGCATAAACAGGATGGCCTGTTATAGCAGAAGGTAAGCAATTAATGAAAGGACTGACCACTCTGTATTCTAAGGGGCTCTTCTCAGTTTCTTATTGCAGATTCAAGGCTTCAAAATAAAATCTGTGAGTGATACGATATGAGGAAATTAAGCATTTGAAGTGATATTCTTAATTACAGCCTGGAATGAAAATGGTGCTAGGGAATGCCGCCCACTGATCTCCTTCCAATCAGATTTTGTGATGTGCAAAATCAGCCTCAGGTCTTCGAAGCAGCTGTGCCCTGAAAAGCAGAGCACTTCTTCATACATAGAAATTCTTCCAACTTAAAAGTGTTCCATATTCCTCATATCTGTTAGGAAAACCAGTCAAAAAACAGGCTCAATCCTACTTTGCTCTTAAATCTCTATCATCTCTCACCCCCACTTTAGAGGAAATTCTAAGAAGAGCTCAAATCTGTGCATCTTAGAAGCTTGACTAAAATCAGTTATCCAGACGCATGACTCCCATTGTGCTATTCAAGTAGCCCTAGTTTTGTATGGCAAGGACATACCACCTCTTTCCCGGGGGTCTGGAGTAGCCCTGCAATTATAAGAGTGTCAGAATGAGTTATTTCACAAGAAGTTTAAACATTTCACATGCAGCTCCCAATTCCAAATTTATGTATGCTGGGGGCAGAGATCATTCTTTGCAAGACTTGAGACACATATCCAATAATGAAAAATTTATAACCTTTTAAATCATGTCAGGAAACATGGTAGAATATAAAGAATATGGTTCCCTAGCAGTTTAGTTCACAGAGCTCAGATTATTTTTAAAGAGAAAATCCTGTGTGGTTTTTGCTTGTTAAACCTTTCTCTACACATCGTCATATATCGATGTTTAAAATCTTAGGACAAGGATAGATTTCACAGGAGAAGCACAGTCTTCTGTGTGAAGATGAGAAGGAAAACATTATAGTTGCTATCTTTATATTTTTACCTGCCATAAACTCGATTTCATGTGAAGAATTTTTCACGCTCTTTTTCAGATTTGTTCTTTCTCAGTTGAAATCAGTTTCCATTGAGAATTTCTCAGAACTATGTTAAACTAAAACACGGTTCAATAGCAATCGGTAAAGTTTGCTACCATTTAACTGCTATCACATGGCATTCATTTTGATTCTCAAGAACATAACTAGATAGCTGAGATTATCACCATTTAATTATAAGGAGACGAAGGATTGGGGCATTTCCAGCAACAATTGAGCTAAGATTTCAGCCAAGTGAATTTAATTGTCCTCTGTCTGTGATTTATTACCTCTTTCAAAGGATCATACTGAAGGCATTCTCCAACTGTGCGATAAGCAGCCAGTGAATTATCCAGACACACATCAGGCTCGGCATTTGATCTCCCATTTGTTTCGTCTCTTCTCTTTGCTTCATCTCCCCCTTCCATGCTTCTCTTTCCTCTTACATCATTTTTTTAATTAAGTTATATTTTCCTTAAACAGAGTGAGTTTCTTCTCTGAAATTAAACAATTTAAATCTAGTAATCAAAATTATTTGTCATTATTATGTATCTTCAAGTACTAGACAATACAAAAGCATCCAGTTATAATTTATAATAGTATTGTTGCAATAGTCCATTCTGTGCGAAACTTTGTCTATGATATGTGCAAGTGCCTATGTTGGAATTACGTCCAATCTAGTCTACAAATGCACAACAGAACTTAATATTCAATCATAGCATTCTTATTATTCATACCACAGTGCTAGTATCGTGTAATAATTAGTAATAGAAAGAGTTAACTTCAAAATCATTGCACTTACATGCCGGGCGATGGTGGCGCATGCCTTTAATCCCAGCACTCGGGAGGCAGAGGCAGGCGGATCTCTGTGAGTTCGAGACCAGCCTGGTCTACAGAGCTAGTGCCAGGACAGGCTCCAAAGCCACAGAGAAACCCTGTCTCGAAAAAAAAAATTATTGCACTTACGATGCTTAAGTGTATGCTAATGTTTTCTACTGAAGTCTGTTTACTTGTTGGGTCACTAACAGAAGAGGTTAGGACAAAGGTATCTTCTATATTTTTGGGAATTATGCAATTGAAAAACAAAATAGATCAAAAGGATCTTATGTTCATGGGTAATTTTCAAGTCCCATGAATTTAAGTACATTTTCGCGCATGAAAACATCCTCGTTCTGTAAATAATCTTCTGATTATCAACAGAGTCAGTTATCTCAAGTTATCAGAAAGACGTTGCTAACACGGTTGCTTCTTTAAATGTCTGTGTGAAATGTTAAATAGCCCAAACTGATTTCATGTTAATATTATTTTATAGGGGCAGAAATAATTGTGGAATCTTAATAGATAAGTATCATAAAAGACGTGGTATTGCTATCGTATTAGTTCACTAGTGATGGCTTGAGGATGACTTTTAAAAGAGACCTTTCATGCCCATTAACACAAACAGTTGCAAAATAAGGCTAAGCAGTCCTCTGTAATTTGACGGCATTCAGCACATTGGAATGTATAATTTCATGCTAAAAATACGATATATAATTACTGGTGTCATTTCAGATTTTTCTCTTCTTTGCGTACATAAACATATACCTTCCAAGTTTGTTGAGAGCAGAGAGACCCCAAATCCTGAATTTCTTGTAATCCCCTGATCTGAGTGCCTACAGCTGCTCTGAGCACGAGACCTTCAGGAGTTCCTGATGGCAGGAGAGTGGTTTCTGGTGGGTTCGGCTGGGGCGTGGCTATCTCGATATAATCTGCCCCTGAACACAATAAAGGGGGCATTCTTGGGGAAATCAAGGATGACCTGTGTCTCTGTATGTGTGTGTCTGTGTATTCTAACCTCCAGCCCCCTTGCCCGAAGCTCGGTAACTGGGTTCAAGTGCACAGAGCGCAGACACAGAAGCGCGGTGCGTGGCAATTGGAGGTCTCCACTGAGATATCTGCACAAGTTGAGGGAAAGAAAGGTGTTCCTTGATGGTTTTGTTTTGTATCCCTTACCCATGGCTACAGACCAATATTTTCTATGCAATTTTCAGCATGGTAGCTATGAAAAGATGGAAATGGTACAAAGGTCTTAGCTGAGGAAATGCCATGGGAAATGCAAGCACAAGAACTTTGCACAGTATGACACTGGCCACACAAAGGTAGGAGACTCAAATGCCCTCTGTCCTGTAAACATAGTCACTGGGGTTACAGTGTGCACACACATTCCACAAATGTATTTTAAAACAGGAGTTATAACTGATATAGTTATTAACATATTATGGAGTTGGTAAATGTACCACAGTCTCTTGGAAAGAAAATTACAAGTAAAGATTAAAAAGGTTTAATTGCACGAGTGCTCGAACTGACTCGTAAAACTCGAAAGCATTCCAACATTTCTTCCCTGTCCTTTTGACAGACAGTGTTTCATTGAGCTCCAGTGAACTCTTTCTGTATAACCTCTGTCAGAACAAAATAATTATAGCTGCAAAGAATGTAAAACAATATCATTAGTTCTTCTTCTCTGCCAGCAAATTAAAACTGAACAATACAAGTTATAATTCTGTGGGGACATTAGCAGGAGACTTTGAGTAGAATTGTGTGGGATATCACTTATCTCCCGTCATAAATTACTGTTCGGCTAACCAACTGAACTCACAAAGGTTGCCGTGGCACAAGTTTTACTGAAGCCTTAGAGGGATTGGGACAGCCCTGTGCATTGCAGTAATCAGATGTGTACATCACGTGCTTCAGAAGAAAGGAGGCTTTTATGGATTTCCTATGTGGATTCCCCCTCCCGTTGCACTGCAGCACAACGTGAGCATCGGTAAAAGTCCCTGTCAAACATAAATACTGATGTCAGGCATGGTGACACATATCTGAAATCCTGACCCTTGGGATGCAAAGGCAGGAAGAGCAAGTGCAGCTCAGCTACTTGGCAGTTCAAAGTCAGCTCGGGATATATGAGACACCATTGCAACAACAAAACACACAAATAAAAGGCTAGAGCCTGTCATCTCTGAAGACTCAGTGAAAAATAGTCTTTTGACCCAATCTTCTTAGAGCACATCAAACATGGCATTAGAGCTTTTGGTAGTACTGAGTAAGCCGCATGAGTCTTACTATTCTTTATGAGAACTGCCAATAAAGATGATACAAAGAGGGAGGTATTTAAATATGCAATATTCCAATGTTCTATATTCTAACTAACATTTCATCTTTTATGGGGCTATGCTAGATTGAAGGTGCCCACCTTACCATAGAAATCCAGAGTCAATCCCTATGCACAGGCAAACAAATGCATATGTTGTGTGTTAAATGAACTAGAAGATACATGGAGGAGGATTGTACCAATTTTATGCTTTTCATTTTTCTCCTATCTGTTTTTGTTTCTGTTTCAATTTCAAAGCTTGTCTGAGGTACTGCTCCCTTAAACTTTACTATTACTGATATTTGAACAAGTCCTTAATCTGTATCCTCTACTTACAAATAGTATTTTGTCTTGAATGTAGTTTCCTAATCACTTGCTCTGTTGATATCCGTAAAATTCCCCCTTTCACATTAGTATGTCTATTGATATTGCTATTGTTTCAAGGGAAAAACTATTGTTTTTAAATGCTGAATGTTTGGATATCACTATACTTGTACTTTTTATTAGCTGATACGCTTTAAAGATGGAACCTGAATTTCAGGATTGTGAGTTCTAGACTCTTTTAATTCCATACTGGGATCCCTATTTATTTGCTGAATCTTAATTTCAGCTGGCCAAGGGCTGCCAGATTTCATGGAGGAGATGTGTGAAGGGAGCAAGTAGTGAACAGGAGATAAAGACAATGTAAAAATCTTTGCAAATGCCTAGACTTACAAAATAAGGACTGTCTGCTTTGCCTCTCTTTAGAAATCCCGGGCCCTGGTGAATGAAGTCCCTGGATGTCATCCCTAAATGTCAGAGTCTTTGGTTGCAGCAGATGCCAAAGGCTCTAGTTTTCTTTAGTTGTTCATTCTGGAGCTTACATCTCATTTTGTTTTAAAACAATGACGTTGGTCTGGGCATCAGTCGTTGTTCTATTGTTTCCAATCAAAACCTAGAGAACAAAAAAAGGCAAGTCAAAGGAAGAAAGGATTATCTTGGCTAATATAAGGCAAGGAATAGACTTTACCATGACAACAGGCAGGGAAAACATGGCTGCAGGTACCAGAACCTGACTGATTAGGTTTCATTCACACCCAGAAAAGCAAGAAAACAGTACAAGGGTCCATCTATAAAACCTCAAAAATGCTCTCAAGTGTTTTATTTCCTCCAGCAAGGCTCTATCTCTTACAGATTCCAAACAGCACCACCTACTGGACAAAGTTCTCAAACACAAAAGTCTGTGGGGGACATTTGTCATTCAAGTCATCACTACAGTGTCCCTTAATAGATTTAGATTTTGAAGCCCTAGTTACATGGACCCCTTCTCAATTATTTATCAGGCACCCTTATTCTGTCCTCATATACATGACTTAAGTAGAAAGGCTTCCTGTCAGTGAAAAGGATTCAAACAGGGCAGATTCTGGACAGAACTGGGAAGAGTGGCGGGGGAGCTGTGCTTGAGTTCCAGTTCTTCTGCCAGCAGACTTAAGAGTAATCTGATGTGGAAGTATTGGCTTTCTTAGTGAAGGAGATGCGTGAAGGAACAAGTGGTGAACAGGAGATAAAGACAACGTGAAAATCTTTGCAAAAGTATAGACTTTGCAAATATAAGACTATCTTGCCTCTCTTGAGAAAACCCAGGCCCTGCTGGATGAAGTGTCTGCATAGGGATTGAGAGAGAAGGATCCAGAAAATTCTTAAAGAGACAGTGAATGTGAACTGATCAGGGCAATTCTATGTGTCTAAGAACATTTGAGTCAGTTGTTGAGATGTATTGTTAGGTGATGAAATGCCCATGGCTTTAGACACATGAACTTAGATTACCTATTCTTATTTGAAACTATTGGTTCTTATATGTTAAATATTATAAAGGGACAAAGGCAGAGAGAGCAAAGAACATTTGCAGCTTCTTTGTACAAGAGGGAACTGTATGAACATTGCCTTACAAAAATTCCAGCTATGTACATGTGCGTTGTTTCAAGTAGGAATACTACTTGTCACTAAGTTAATAAAATGCTTTAAGTTGTTCCATCTGTGTATTTTGAATGAAGAAGGATATCAAAGATATGAAGAGAGAAGGAAACAATCTGGTTAATCACTGTATGACAGCATTTAGACATTCATTTGGCATTGTCAGGAGTTAAAAGAGTTTGCTTTCGGGATTTGACATGTGTAGGGTTTTGTTTTCCCATAGTTATTGAACTTACAAAGCCTATTAGGACATGAACTATTGGAACATACGCTATCAAGGATGCAAAAAAATATTTCCAGCTCAGCGGAACTGAAGCATAGTTGGTAGACTAGAAAAATGTCAACTCCCAATTTAATAATCCATTCAGTGACAAGTGACACTTCAGAGTTCCTGGAACGTTTCTTATCTGGTAGATAGAGTTGCTGGTTTACAAAAATAAACCATTAAAAAACTAATCAAATTAGATACCATTGATTAAGCACTTAAACAGAAATATTTTGCTGCTTGGATACATCTCAGATTTTCACACACAATCTAGCTGTCCTTAGTTACCAATCTTTTATACATTTATTTATTTATTTAGTGTGTGTGTGTGTGTGTGTGTGTGTGTGTGTGTGAATGTGTGTGTGAGTTGGAACACAAGAAAAGGTATGTATGGGTGTTGAGATGACAACTCGTAGAGGCAGTGCTCTCTGTCATTTAATGGGGAATCAAACTCAAGTCAGCAGGATTGATGGCAAGTCTTTAACCACTTGACCACACCCCTGGCTATTAGTAACAATTTTAATAAATTTCAAATGACTTCGAAACTGACTAGATTAAAGGTTACTTTTTAGAAACCAAAGGGCCGTACACACGCAAGAACTTTGAAGAGTAGAGGAGAAAGAATGGGACACTTACCTGACTCAACGGTGAGCAGAATGTCTGAGGAATCAACCATGAGTGGCTTCCCGATCATCTTTTAGCCACTTTTAGAAAGGATAAAGTGAAAATACTTGAATCATTAGTAATCACAAACCCTACACAATTCTATAAAAAGGGTTCTCCATTTCTAAGTCCACTTAGAGCTTTTCATGAGGATATTCACAGCAGTCACAGGTACTGCTGTCAAAGCCAGGACCTTTCATAGCACACCAGGTGTGAAGGATGTAGATTTAAATCAACAAAAATGTTTGTCAAATTCCTCAGTGACACCTTCCTAAATTTCTCCAAAAAATGTCATCAGAACAGACTGAATAGACTGTACATATTAAAGTTTCTCATACTAGCTTGGTGATACTAAACCAGACAAGCTCACGAGCAGCCATAGCTCCCCCTGGTTGAGGAGGAGACATTATCCACCGAGACACTGAAGTATCGAGCAGGTTGCTGATCCTTTAAAGCTTAGTTCTGTTTGTGGATAACAGATATTCTAGTCAATATTCTGAAGAGTATTCAGAGCCTGCAGATTGGATGGAAAGGTGATTCATCCTCCTGCTAGCACAGAATTCTCAATCATAAGGCTTTGGGGGCTAGAGAGTACCCGCTGCTCAAGAGAGACAGACAAGAGAGTCTAGGGCATCACATCTAAGATTTCCAGTATGCATTTCTTCCAAAGTATTTTGGGGCATTGAAGGCTGAACCACCAAATAATTTTGTCTTAGCCATCTTGGTTAACAGATTTGACAGACGATAGATTTGATAGAAGATAGTGTTACAAGAGAGCCTTGGACGCACATTGTCACTTCAAAGACATAGTTCTAGAAATGGCTTCTTTGAGTGGCATGAGAAACACCAGGGTGTGATGAGCCTTTGTCACTCCACATAAACTAAATGCTGACTGTCTTTCACTTAAGGCAATGTTAATAAGTGGGAAAGAATGGATTCATGTACCATCTGATGCATTTGGTGGTCACTGGTGGGCATTATAGTTTAACTTTTTAATTATATACTCAAATTTGTTGATTTGTTACTATTTGTGTGGGGTCTTATTAGGATACTCTTTTTCCTCCACTGTACTTGGAAAACTTATTAACATCTAAGAAAAAATCAAAAGGACTCATGAAAAACTAAACACAAAAAACATAATTAGGTTTTATAGTAGTACTGAAAAACTTCATTAACCCACCCCACAAGCTTTCCTGTTAGGCTTCATATGAACCCTTGGGACGCTTATAATGCTTCTGCTTTGTGTTTCCCCTTAATCATAGGTATAAAATTTCACTCACATGAGAAACTCATCAGTTGCTTGTTCTCAAGTTATCCTCTCGTGTCATGATTATCCATTTGCTTTTGCTTGGAACTGTCATATAAAAAATTTAATAAAAATAAATTTAGCTAATTCACATGCATACTTTTTGATTAATCTACCATAACATTTTCATGAAGAAATATTTTCCTTTATTCTCTCAAGAGGGAAATTAGTATTTTACATTGCTAATTTTTATATTATCATATTATTGGTATTGGGTTTATTTTCTAGGACAACACAGTTCTATTTATATAATAAAAGTAGGTGAAACATAAATAAATGTTTAAACTATAAAATAAATATGCTTCTTTTACGCCACTATATTTTAGTTTAGTGACTATGTCAGTTTGTATTGAACATTTGCTGGGTTTAACAAAAGCACATCAAACCCTAGACCTTACTAACACTAGAGGAGTCCCCATCTTTGATACACCTAACTCCAATTTAGGCTCTTTAACAAGCAATTGAAACTCATTTTAATAGTCAGCTTGCCTCACTAAATAGAATATCACAGATGATATGATTTAAAAAAAAACAACAGGAATTTGCTTTTGGTAATTCTAGAACACTGGTTCTCAACCTTCCTAATGCTGTGACCCTTTAATACAGTTCCTCATGTTGTGGTGACCTCCCAAGAATAAAATTATTTTTGTTGCTACTTCATAGTTGTAATTTTGATACTGTTATGAATTGTGCTGTAAATATCTGATATGTGACCCCAGAGGGGTCGTGTCCCACGGGTTGAACACCACTGTTCTAGAGGATGAAAATTTGCAATTGGTACACAGGCATGGCCATTCTTATGGCTCCCTTGTGATGCTGAGGAGCACAAATTCTGTTCGTGATGACAAATGAAGGGATTAAGATTGCAAGGTAGAACATTTAAGTGAAAGAGGAAAATTCATTTTGTAGCATTTTAAAGGCTAAGAATTTTGTTGGTTTCCCTGGATTCTAAGTATAGTACTCAATAAAATTTTATGAATGTACTAAAATGGCCATATCCAAGGGAATGTAACTGCCTAGATAATTTTAAATGGTAGATTCTTTTTACCCATTTTATTCATTTTTATCACACCAATTCTGTCATCTAAACATTTCTTAAATTCTCTCATGTGCTAGACATTGTATTATGTTATTATGTTAGAAAACAATCGGTATAGACGTATCTAATAAATCAAGCTGGCCAAAATTAAGATAAAATAGTCTGTTTTCTAAGCCACTGTGATTCAAGTATAACTTTGATACTAAGTCAGGTTAAGGATAGCACAGATAACAACAACAACATAAACTGTGGAAAGGATGAACCGCAATCTATTGAGTATGCGGAGAAGCAAATGTAGGCAGACGGATGGGGAGAAAAGCAGAATTCAACACAGCCCTGAGCTCCCATGTGGTTTTTCCTCCTGTGGTGTCTCCTGCCCAGAACTCAATATAATTATAATGAAAAACAATAACTGAGCACTAGATGCATGGAAAGAGATCGAGAAAAACTTGAGTTTTACTTTGGGAAAAAGAAAGGAAGATTCCTAACACATGGAGGAGGGACAGACAGTTTACCACTTTTCCAGTCTTGTTTCTCTCTGTTGCCTTAGTGAAAATGTCAGTGGCAGGAAACATCAGGGCTAAGAAGGCAGCAGAGGTCAGTTTTCAAGGACGAAAACTTTGTGTATAGTTAATCTGCAGCTTCACTATAGCATTCCTAAACCTGTTTCTGTGTTTAGTCTTTTGTTTTATTTCCATTCAATCTAGAAATTGTTTGACTGTGAACATGGTAGTAGAGGGCAGTGGATAGTCATCTGAGAAAAAGAAACCCAGGAATTTCATGAGTGGAATATCCTTTGTGAACGAAGATGACCAGAACATTCTCAGAGAAACAGAAATGAGGAGTGCTAGCTGTCAGTACCTCTGCTTCAAAAGCATTGCGGAGGGAGGTTTTCGTATTGCAGAGAAATACAGCAGATGAAAGTGCGTAGCAGAAGTGAGCTGGAGGTGGGAGAGAGGGTTCAGAAATGAAGAGCATCCTCAGAGATGGCTCCTTGCACTATGAATGACAGCTCTCAACCACCTGCAGTTCTAGATCCAGGAAGATCCAGTGCTTTTCGCTTTGACAGGCACTCGTATGCACAGAGTCCTGTGCAGATACACATAACTTACTAAAGAAGAAAGAGAGACTCTTATTAGTCTCTGTAAAACTATTCTTCTCTCAAATGCTTGGTCCTTAACAAGGTGGGAGTTTTGATGTGAGTGAATGTAATGTTTTAAGACTAGCATGGTAAAGGAGAAATTAATGTAATGTAGCAGTGGTTCTGTATTCCATTGGAAAGGGAAATACTTAGAGCGTTAAACATTACAGATTTCATTATTCTTTCAGTGAATCTATAAACTTAAACAAAAAGATGCAATGAACTGACCATGGAAACAGCATCAGTGGCTAAGAAGTATCTAAAAAAAAAAAAAAAAAAGACAGCCGAAAGATGTTAGATTAGATATAAATGCAGAAGCATTCATAAGAGCTACTGTAGCTGTTTGAAATAACATTCGATGACCCAGTGCCTCTTTGGAAACAATGTTTTCATGGAAAAATAAAGAAAACACATCAAATAAATTGAATGAAATGGTAAGTGGATCTTTTAAATTTAGCTCTTTGATTTATGGAATGACAAATAGTATTTTGCCACAAACCAATAAACATTAAGATTAAAAATAACCATTATTACTTCATTTGAATGACTGTTAAAATTTAATTTGTGATGTTTGCATAAAAATCATTTCACTATTTCTATATGATTTAGAAAGCTGACTCCCATAAGATTGTTTGTATTTGACTCATGGAAGTGTTTTGCTTTAATTTTAGTTTTGTGAGAGAGAAGTAGAAGAAAGGAGGAAAAGAAAGAGCTGTGTAAATTTGAGAAGGGGATGTTATGGCTCATTAAAATTATTTTTATTCTCTCTCAAAAGACTGAGTACTACATTTCATTTAGTTTTAGTTCATTAATGATTAACAGTTCTATATGTAATCAAAAAATTATCATTATACTCTATGACTGTAGTATTAACATGATGAATTGATCTTAGAGGACAACAACAACAAAGACATGGCTTCCAATTAAAATAAAAAGGTATTAAATAAGTTCAAACCCCTATCTGAAGATAACCAGTGTGACATTAGCATATCAATGAGTTTAGCGGTGGTGTCCTGAGATGCTTCTTTGAACTTCAAGAATCTATCTAGATCCTCTTTGTATAAATACAAAGATTACTTGAAGAAAATCATAAGGCTGCAAATCCTATATCTTCAGTTTAAAATGAAGTATAATCTTCCTGGCACAGCACCAGTAATTTCTTATCTCAAAGATTCTCCTTCCATCACGATGAGAGGTCAGTAGGTGGGGTGGTTTAAGACGGCTCCTCAGAATGTATAAAAAGTAAAGGATGGAGCCCAGGGCTGTGGCAAAATGCTGTGCAAGCATAGTAGAGTTGCAAAAGAGAAACTGACAAAGCAAGGAATGACCAACATGTGGGGCACACGTAATGCTGATTCACTGCTGTTGAAAATATAAACTGCTACTTTGAAAAACGTTGCAGCACCTACTAAAATAAGAACACAAAACCCTTCTTTATCAGCTTCTGTTATTGCATAATACAATGTCAAAAGCCTGCTGGCTTGAAATAAAACCTTGCATTAGTTCCCGGTTCTGTACTGGAAATGCCTGACACAGCCTAGATCAGCACATCACTAGTATGAATCAAGGATCAGAATGTTTGAGTTCCAACCGAAGCCCTGGGGGAAGTCACATCCTAACTCATTTGGGTGGTTGTTAAAATTCAGGTCCCTGATTTTTTAGAACTGAGGTTCTAATTCTGTATTGCCTGTCATTAGTGTCCACCCTCAGCTCCTGAGAACTATTTTCTTGCCACTGTATATAGAGTTCTAGATCATAAGGCCAAGGGAGACAGGTCAAATGCCCCCATATCTCTCAATCTTTCTTATTTCTGCTCCAAACTGGGGAAACACCTGGCTTTTTAAAGACTCCTGTGATAGGATTCCTACTGGGTGGCCACTTGGGAAAATCTTGTTACAATTGGACATAGAATTAGAAAGCAATTTTATAATATTCACATTATTACTCAGCAGTTTCATGTAACCAATAGAAATACAAATAAGTGATCCTCAAAGTTTGTACACAGGTATGGTGATACAAACAATAACATAGGTAGACGATAGGAAGAAATACTTCACAAATGAGTTTTCGTGTCTACACATAAGTAGGCCATCAGAGGTGTCAGTGCACAAATGTGTGCAATGTGATAGCAATCCCAGTAGCTAGAATGGTGGATCATTGGGATTGTGAGTTCTGTGACAGTCTAGGCTACCCCTCAAGGGCCCTGTCTCAAAATCAGATAAGTATGTACACATATATGTATATACACATGTGTGCACATGCATATACACACACCTTTCTTAAATGTTACTTTAGAATATCAGAAGCTCTCATCATGAAGATATTCCAAACTTAATTCATCCATTTTCCCCTTACTTACCACAGCACTCTGTTTGAACACAAAGATTAAATGGACAAAATGTGAATTTTACAAAAATTCACTCTTTGGAATACTTTCATTTTTTTTCATGTCTCTCATCATTCCTTAATTGAATTGCTTTGTCCAGGCTTTTTGTTTAAGAAATCAAACAATATAAAATTGATTACATTATCCCAGAAAGGCTCTCACTGTAGCAATAGGTAGTACATCTGCCCCTCTGCTACACCCACACTTTGTTAGAGCCACAGAGGGCAGTGTAGAAATTCAACAGCTCTGGGACCTGGAGTACTTGATCCTGAATTTATACTTAGTTGATGTCATAGTGTGCTTAACATATATAAATCATACTTATTAAATATGCTTGCATATTTCCATTTATAGAACTATGTATGTATTTAATGAGGCAAAAATAAAAGAATTGAAGAGATAAATGAACTTAAAAGTGACTTAAGCAAAGATCCCCTAGTTAGACACCACTCCCCATTTTCTGATGGGGAATAGACTCATTG